GAGAGGCATGCTGGGTCCACTGTGACGCATCCTGGGGGTGACACCCCACACTGGTGCCGTTCCCATTGTGGTTTTTCACACCCAAACCCTGCAGGTTTCCCTCCTTCCTCAACGAGGGCTGCACAGCCCCCTCATGCCATGTCCAGCATCCTGAAGCTTTCGAGCCAGGCTCTGATGAATGATCTTGTCAGCAATGGATGCACTCAAGTGCCCACAGCCTCAGTGCTCTTCAAGGAAAGCTGCAGCTCCACTTCCCAGCCTGTCCCTTATTTATTGCCTGGAGAGACACGGGGTGGGGAGATGGAGGGAAGGGACAGGGAGGTCACTGCCAGCGTCCTGTGCCCCAGGGGCCAGCACAGCCTTGCAGCTGCCCCAGGGCTGTGGGTGCTCCCAGGTTTCCTGTGGGTGAAAATGGCTTTTCCACAAGTGGAGAAAGGAAGGACAAAAAAACACTTTTGGCAAGGGCCTTGACCTTGGATGCACCTGGATACGTGGGCAGATAGAGTGGGAAATTTGGGTGCTGGGCTCTGCCCAGGGCTGCACAGGCTGCAGAGACAACTGGGAGGCTTTGAGTGGGGGGGAAGAGCCATAAAACAGATATTTCCCATTAGAAAGATGGTGAGTTCTCTCTTGCAACAATTTGATTCTGAAAATTGCATTTAGAGGGCTAAGGATTCTTCAGTGGCAGCATGGGGCCTCTCAGCCACCTGCCACCATCCAAGGGTTTTTCCCAGCTGGGCACATGGTACACATTGTCTCATGGTCATTGCTGCTTCCCCACTCTGCAGCCCACTCCATGCCACCTTTCTTGGGAAAACCAGCTTGGATCCAGCCCCACTGGAGCATCCCCTGGCCCCTCCACCTTGGTAGCCCCATGGCCAGACTGGCTCAGCATCCACCCACATCTGCCACGGCATCCGAAGTGGAGCCGTGCATCACTTTGCAGGTTCACATCTCAGTTGCAAAGGTTATTTTAAGTGAGGAGCCCTTCCTCCTCCTCCTCCCTGGCTGAAGCAGGCAGTGTGTTGAAGCAGGCAGTGGAGGGGCCCCCCTCCTGCCAGGCAGGGCTGGCTGAGTCAAGGGAATAATTGGTAGGTGCTTCTGGAGTGCCATGAGCAGAGGGCACTCGCAGCCTTTGTTTATTGACTCTTGATGATAATGAATACTTCCAGAGATAATTATTGATTTTCTGCATTTGCAGTAAACCTGTTTGGCTGGGGAATGGGCAGAGCAGTGCCATGCCAATGGCACGTGGAGGTGGGAATGGGGCAGACTGGGCAAAACCAGGCTCTGGCTCTTCCCATTGCATACAAGCCAATTAAGAAAAAAAAAATTCAACATTTATAGAAAAATATTTGTGCAGCTCCAGGACAAGCCCAGCTTTCTTCTCTCTACTAGGGGGAACAGATTAAAATTTAATCCTAATTAAACACATTTTCTCCTTTCCCTCTCCTCGGGAACCTCCTGCACATAAACAGCTTCATCCTGCTCATCCCTTCTTCCCTTGGCCCTCAGCTCATCCTCCTCAACAGCAGCCAAACACCCACAGTGGGTGTTCACCAGAGCAGGGACCCCTCTCTTCTCTCCATACCCCCAAAATCAAAGCCTGGGTGTAGGAGGGGATGAGGTGATGGGGCCCTTTAAATGTGGCAGAGGATAAAGCAGGAAGAGGGATAGCTGGAGTTTCCTGAGCATTCCCACCTATCCCTGAGCCAAGTAGGTCCCATTCACATTTCCATGGGGTTTTGACCCCGAAAGGGGCTTTGTGGGGCAAGGGGATCCTGGGTGTTTAATTGTGGGGTGCAGGAAAACAACCCAACAAATAAAATCTTCATTGAGCTAAACTTTACCAAGGTGGTTGTAGGGCTGCAGAGCTGGGTGCAGCAAGTGGGGCTGGGGGCCAGCAGCCTTGGGAAGAGCCTGGTTTGCAGACCCCCATGCAGAAGGGGGAAGCCCAGGCTCAGCCCTTTGTGTCACTAGACCACCCCCCCACCCCCAAAATAACAGAAGAAGAGCGCTCTAAGGAAGAGAGTTTTTATGTTTTGTATTATTTATATTTTATTTTATACTTTTATATTATTTATATTTTATTTTATACTTTTATATTTTATTTATTCATTCTGCTTTGGAGAAAGTTGTGCAGTTATCCTCCAATTCCCAGTTTCCCTGTTCCCATCCCAGAACTCGCTCTCCCTGCTACAGTTTATTGCACACATTTTGGGTGCAAATGTTTCAACCTGGCAGAGACCCACGTTACCACTGGGGCTGTAAATAACCTGGGGTGGCATTTATGGCAGTCCTACGGGGTGGGTAACCAGCAGCTGCGTGCTGCTGGCAGACAGTGGTCCCACAGGGTGGGCAGCACCTGCAAGGGCTGTGGGGATGCTGCAGCCGTGACCACCCCCATGGCACCAGCCCCACAGGTCCCTGCAGGACCACTGGCAATGCCACGGGTTAAAGACACACTGGAATCACACAGCATTGTTTCTGCTTATGATGTAGTGCCTTTTCTGGGTATCTTGTAATGCTTTCTCAGGCTGTTTATTTATGAGACAATTTATTACAGTGCAGTTATTCTATAGCAGTGAAGTCTATTCCTGGGAGCCTCCGTTAACCCAGCCAATTGCTTAATTGGCTCACTGATGTCTCCACAAGGTACGCCAGGAGAGAGGGCTCTTGTAACGATCGGAGCCTCCCTCCTGCCCACACACCACCCGTGCTGCTAATTTAATAGTGCAAACATTTATTATTCCTTTTATTTGGGAGTTAATGTTCGGGCGATTAGAGCAGTGGAAGGGGTGAAATGCCCTGGAGTGCCACGAGGACTCTGGTCACAGCTGGGAGTGGTTGGACTCATCTTGCAAAACCCAGGGGATGCTGATGCCTTGCAGGGTACTTGGTTAATGAGCCACAAGGGGAGGGTTCGGGCTGACAGTGCCAGTGAGGCTCCTGCCTGACCCCCACCCCACAACTAGGTCATTCACCAGCAAATCAGAGACCAGGGCATGTGTGTACTCACACCTGATCTCTCTTTGGTGAGCTTAATGTGCTCTGAAGGGAAAGAGGTTCCTAATGAACGGGCTGTGTGTTACAGGAATGACTGGAAGGGCCACAGGAAAACCAAGCTTTGATTTGCTTGGGTGGGGAGTCCCTGTCCCTGCCCAACTGCTGCAGAAGAGTGATGGCCCAGTGGTGGTTGTTCTGGGGAGGTGGGTGCCTGCTGTGTCTGCCATGGGTGCTGTCTGTGCCCTCCCCAGCTGTGTTTTCACAGTGTAGCTGATCTAGACCTCTCAAGCCCTTTCCCCTGCTCCCTCTGCTCTTTCCTGGCTGTGACAGTCCCCGGAGGGCCCCCACTCCGACCCCTCCTGCCCATGGCACGTACAGTGTGCCCTGGGCCAGAGCAGAGCTGTAGCTCCCAACCAGCCTTTCCCAGCCGTTGCCCTTGGGCAGCTTCCCGGGGGGAGCAGCCTCCCAGTGAGCATCTCTCTGCTGTGCATGAATGTCGTCCTTCCCTATCAGGCTTTTAGGCAATGTCTGGCAGAGCTGACAGCGTTTCTATAAGCCCTGCTGGATCCGTGCCTGCTCCCACTACCGCCACTTCCCCAGGATCCGTCTCCAGCCGTCCGTGGCCTCTCGGCACAAATCCCGCCGGCGCTGTCCAGCGCGTGCCACCGAGGCTCTGGCTTTGTGAGTCTCTGTGTGGGGACACAGCTCGGGGCTGTCTGACCCTGGGTATCAGTGGGACAGAGCCCTGGCACTGGGAGCAGGAAGCAAAACGGGGCAGGGAAGGAGGAGTTAGCAAACAACGCTGCCAGAACGAGCCTTCTGCTAATTTTGTATTTATCGCAAAGAAGCGATTAAGTTTCCCTGTGATTTTCCTTCTTCTCCAGCTCCCACTGCCTATTGTTCTGGGCTCCATTATCCCCCCGCCGCTTACATAAACGTATCATGCGGGTTTCTGAGGCACAATAGAGAGAGTCTCATTCATCCAAGGTCACCAGCTTTTACTTGTGCTTCAAAGCATCTGGTAGAAGAAGCATTTTCTCCTAAAGACGTTTTTATTGTACTCGGCACAGGGGCTGAGGAAAATCTCGCAGCACTGCACTTGCACCGCCCCAGCCCTTCTTCCCTTCCCATGCGCCCAGTCCCGGCAGGTCAAATCCTGCCTTGGAAGGTGAGGAATTGTTTTCTGTGCCGGTTGGGACCCTGCTGTGGGATTCCCCAGCCTGCTGCCACGCAGCCCCAGGCTGGGGGCCAGGAGCAGCGTGCTCCATTCCAGATAAATGGGAAGGGATGGGGAGAGGGAGGAAAGAAAGGGGTTGTCTTCCAAAATCTTTCCCATAGGGTCCCGGTACGGACAGAGAGGTCTCCACGGCCTCCTGCTGCTTTCTCCCCCAGCTCTTGGCTCCAGGCTCTCCCCTGCCTGGCTGGGACTGGGCAAACACAAAGGCTATTGGTAACTCTGTGGGGGGACAGGGACTTGCTCTGCCCTGGAGGGTTTGTGCCCCGCAAAGGGCAAAGTGCAGGGGTGGCCGCCATCCAGCAGCGAGCTGGAAGTGTCTCCTGTGCTGGGGAACGTAATGATGGGATGACACAAGGACAGTCCCGGGGTCTGTGCGGGGGTGGGAGCCCCCCAGAGCCACCTGGTCGGGGCGAGCAGCGAGGCGGGCCGTGGTGGCGGCGGGGAGCGAGCCCCTCGGGAGCGGGGCCGCGGGTCCCCCGGAGCCGCCCCCTCCCCTCCCCGGGCCGGGCTCGGCGCGGCCGCTCCGGGCGCAGCTGCGGCGGGGGCGGTGCCGGGGAGGGGACGGCGGCGGGTCCGGCCCCTCTGCCCGCCCCGCCGGCACAAAACGGGAGGCGAGGGCGGCCGGGGCCGCACTTCCCGCAGCGGGCCGGGCTGCGGGCCGAGCCGAGCGGGGCCGGGCCGGCGGCGCGGGGGATGTAGCGCTCAGCACCGCGGACAGCGGCGGGGCCGGCCCGCGGTGCCGGGGGGCCCGGGGGCCATGGCCGGCGTGCAGCAGGGCGAGAAGCAGCTCTTCGAGAAGTTCTGGCGAGGCACCTTTAAAGCCGTGGCCATGCCGCGACCCGAGAGCATCATCGTGGCCAGTATCACCGCCCGCAAGCCGCTGCCCAGGTAAGGGATGTGGGGGGACGGGAGGGGGGGCTCTGGGGGACCCCGCGACCCGCTCGACCCCCAGCCCCCTCCACAACATCAGGAGAGTTCTGAATGTCTCCCTACCGAGCCAGCTAGCGACTGGACGACCCGGGGGATCCTCTCCATGCCCGGGGCAAGGGGATGCTGGCTGGCTGAGCCCCCTCCCCAGGCAGGTGCTGTGCTCTGGAGCAGGGCAGGTTTGGGAAACTTTGGTGGTGCTTGGAGTCCAGGAGCTGACTGCTACACACCAAGGAGAGCACAATGAGGGTATGGAAAGTTCTAGCTGGGCTGTGGAGGGAGGACAGTGGTGGGGGGCATCAGCCAGAAAGTGTGGCCAGCTCCATCCCTGCCGAGCAGAGCCCTGGGGTGTATGTCCTGCTGGTCGTCTTGTCTCTGTGTCACTACTCCTTCATCAGGGAAGGTGAAGCCTGGGATGGGGAACAGCCCCTCTTCAGCTGGACCCTGCCTTGTCACGGAGGGGAGGCTGATACACCCCAGGGATGTGCAGCCCAAGGAGCCTGGTCACTGCCATGGACCGGGACAGCTCGGGGGCTGGTGTCCCCCTGGTCCCACAGCCAAGCAGCCTTGGCTTTGCACATCTGGTGCCTGCCCTGTCCTCCTGCTCCGGGGAGGCCAGTGCCCCTCATGTTTGCCAGAGGCTGAGCAAACCCATGAAACAAGGCAGGGGGACTGCAGGTACCCCCTGAGCCGCTCTGCCGGGCTGTCACACGGGCAAGGGTCCGTGTGGCTTCCTCACCAGCATGCACAATCTAATTTAAACCAGCTTTATTTTGCTGACTGTCTCAATATTGGTTAAAAATACCCTCTTTGCACTGCTTTTATGAGGAAGGGAGGCTTTTGCTTGTTCTCTCTTTGGTCTGTTTTTAACACTGCTGGCTGCTGTTCACCTGGTGTGGGCAACAACCCAAAGTTCCGTGGAGCTGATGGGTCTGTAGAGGAGAGGGGCTTGGTCTGCAGTGGGCTGGGTATCAGGGGCTCAGCCTGTGCTAGGGAATAAAGAGCTCATGGGGAGAGCGCTGTTTCGGATGCTTCCTGTGCCAGTGGAGGCTGAGAGCAACAATAGGGATGGGGGTCACTTCTGCCCCTGCAGCCCAGCTGCTGAGCATGAATTTTTTCAGTCTCTCTGATTTCCATTAACCTGGGTAGGAAAATGGGAAAGGCATGGCTTAAGCTTCCGAAGGAGAAGAGCAAATCTTGTTTACACAGGCAGCGTTTGCAGGGCTTCAGCCTTTGTGAGGGAGAGGAACCACGGTGTCGTTCTCCATCCCTTGCATCTGCTATGGTCGGCACCCAAAGGGGTTGTTGGCAGGCTGGGTGCTGGCTCACACACACACACTCCTGCCTGAAGGTGCCTGAATGAGCCGTGCTGCTTAAATATCTTGCAGTTGGAGGTGAAATACGGCAACAAATTAGGGTATTGGGGAAAATATAGCCAGCCTGGTGCCAGGAATGATGCCCGGCTCTAAACGGCAGTTCAGATTGCACGGGCATCCTGGTGGAGCTGAGCACCGCAGCTCGGGGTGTTTGCAGCTCCATTAAAAAGTTCCCAAACGCGTGTACCTCTCTGTTCTGCTGGCAGTGCCGGCTCCGGCAGGAAGGGAACTGTCCACGCAGTGGCCAGGAGCTCTCGGCACGCGATAAAACGGACCCGCCGTTTACACCTCAGCACTGTCAGACCCTGCACCACGGGGTCCCCAAGCCGGGGTGTGCCCCACACAGCTGGCCACGGTGCTGCCAAGTCCCCGTGTCAGTGGAGCCCGGCGCCTTTTGTCTCCTCGCAGCGTGTGCCGCGGGCCGGGGCTATTCCCTGCGGTGTGGCCGTCTGTGCCGCTGCCCTCGCCACACGTGTCCAGCGGGGTCAGCCCGGCGGGGCTCTCCCCGGGACCTACGGGGCAGGTGCTGGGCTCACTCCTGTCCCCAGGCACAGAGGGTCTCTGCTGCTCGGGGGGCTGACACCAAGGGCTGTGGGGACAGGGAGACTGCCGTTCCCAGCTCCTCTCATCAGGGCTGTTGGCTCGGCTCACATCCCGCAGGGCTCTGCTAAGAGCCCAAGGCTGCTGTCTGGGCAGGTTCACATCTCCAGGGGCTTTGCAGCAGGTCCCCATCGGGGTACACAGTGATGTCCCCAAGCTGGCACCAGGCTCGTAGTCCAGCAATATCCAGAGCCAGGCTCCTGCTCCCTATTCGTGGTGAGAGCAGCCCCATGGCTTGCAGCAGATCCTTTCGTAGTGGCCTCTGTGCCCAGCTCCACTCTGGGTTTGTTTTTCCTGAAGGTTTTGCTGCGCCACTGCTCGGATCGGCCTTTCTTCCCTGACTATACTCCCGGCTAATTTAAGAGCAAATGACTGCGGTGCCAGCAAGCAGAGCGCACCAGAGAGGAGATGGGGAGACCAGTTAGCCAAATGAAAAATTAAGATGACCATCTGGATTCCTGTTTTCTCCCACACTTGACAGCTGGTCCCCTGAAAACACCCTGCCCTGGATCCGGCCCCGCGCTTCCCGCAGTGGTGATGTTGGCATGGTTTCTAGGCCAGGGCTGCCCGTCTCCTCATCAGTTTTACTGTCTGAGCCTGAGCCCTCATGGAGTGCCAAGGGGCTCAGCTGCTGCATGGGGGTCCTGCCAGGAATCCCCCCAGTGGGCATAGCCCAAAGCCATCCCTGCTGGGTGCCCTGGGCTAAGGGCTCAGTCCTGCATCCTTGAGGGGCAGCGGTGGTGTTCCCAGGACAGAAGGTGATTTTTTTCCCTCTTTCCAGCTGGCTTTGCCCTTGCCCCATCCCTCAGCACCACTGTCCTGCTGGTTCTGGAGATAAAGCTTCTTCCATTGAAATTCCCGTCAAGCTCTCTAGGAGCTTTGAGGGGTTAAAGCTCTGCTGAACCCACAGTTCATCCTGGAACAATAGAGTACATTAATACCATCCCTCCTCATCCTGCTGGGGCTGGGGTGGGGCATGAAATCCGGCCCCCAACACAGCTTTGTGCCCAGAGCAGGGCTCTGCCAAAGTAAATGGATTATTGACCAGTTTGCAGAGTGAAAGGAAAAAATGAGGTGATGGGGAAAGGGGCTTTTCCAATTAACCTTTTCCCACACAGGGTCTGGCGAGGCTTCGCTGTGCAGGAGGGGGTGAGGGACTGGGTGGTGTGGGGAGGCTGTGCAGGGCTGGGGCTGACCCCACACTTGCCTTTGCAGGGGATTGCTCCAGCGTATACAAAATCCCAGCGTGGGATTTGAGGGGTTTGTATGCCCAGCGTGCTGGGGAGAGATGGGGTGAGGGACAGGGACCACCTACGCTGCCCTGAGCCCCTCTCGCTGAGCCAGGGTGCCCTCACTCCCTCTCATTGCTCCATAAGGATGGGGCTTTGGCTCTTGTGAACCTGAAAATGCTTTTTAAATCTCCTGCAATAAGGTGGCTCTGCCCAGGCTTTGGGGATGGATGTCACCACCATGCTCTAGCCCCATCCCCAGGATCCCCTTTCGTCCCTCTTGGCTGAGCTTTTGACTGCATCTCTTCCCTGACCATGACCTCTGCCACAGCGCAGCAGAGGCGAGCTCCATCCCACTCAGCAGCCTGACTTCTCCCGGCGCTGCTGCATATTCCAGCAGTGCCTGTGCCAGAAACCTGAGGACAGCCAGGTGGGAGATGCCTCAGGGTATCCTTGGGACCCAGAGGTGATGGCAGTCTGGGGGCTTGCGGGATTCTTTTGGGGGTGTTTGCCTTCCCTGTTCCCACTCCACCAGCCATGGTAGTGTGGTATGAGCTGCCTTGTCCCCCAAAACTCATCCAAAATCCACCTTGACGAAAGTGCTGGAGCTGGGGGCTGTGGGTGCTGGTATTTGTTCCCGGGGCAGCCAGTGATGCTGGGTGAGCTGCAGCAGTGCTGGGGGAAAGGAGGCTCCTGCCTCCCTCCCTGCCAGATGGTCTAAGTGGGTCACACCAGGGCAGTGCAGGGGATTTGTGCTTTAACCCTTAATCCCCCGGGATGCACCGTGCACGGAGGGGGAGGGAGGGATGTGTTGCTGAAGTGGGATTAAGCCCAGTTTCACCGCCTGGTTTGCCATTGAAGGTGATCTCAGAGACAGGTCTGGGTGCTGCTGCTGCTGCAAACCTGCTGGGACAAGGGTGATGTGTCCTCCCTGGCTGCACTGGGACGGGGTGGGAGCAGTCATGGCACTGCAGTGCCAGGGGACACAGTACCCCATCGAGGGCAGAAGGCATCTGCCATCCCCGTGTGGCCTTTGCAGTGACTTTTGGCCATCCCAACCTCTGGTTTCCCAGCCACCTTCCGGTGGCCCCGATCCCCAGCTCGTCCCCAGCGGGTTGGCAGCCCTTGGGTATCGATGCGGGGTGTGCTGCTGGGGAGGAAGCCCCGCTGGCAGCCCTGCTGTGCGGATGGTCCCCCACTCCCGCTAATCCTCCCCCTTGTTGGTCGGGCATCTGTTCCGCGGGAAGAGGCGGCGGCGGTGCCGGCCGCGCCAGCCGCCTGGCTGCCATCTGCTCCCTCCGCTCCCAACGAGCCCGAGTGCTAATGAGCCCGTGGCCCCGGCCCAAGAGGGGGGAGAGGGGCTTGAAAAGAAAAGCGGAGGGGGAGAAGAAAAGCCCCTTCCTTGGAGGGGCTGTCAAAAGGGAGGCTTTTGTCTGCCCCTGCCCTCCGGCTCCAGCTGGACGGCGATGGGAGCGGGGAGAGCTAATTAGGCAGCTCGGGAGCTGCTGGGAGGCTACGGGCAGCTGAGTGAGGGGAAGAGCAGGGGATGCCCGCAGGATTCCCTCCCTGCTGCTCGCAGAGCCTTCATCCTCCTCCTCCTTCCCCCGGCCCTGTCCATCTGCCTCTCCACTGGACTGGTGCTGGGCACCGTGTCCCTGCTGGCCTCCCTGGTGGGGTGAGGGACACCACTGTCCCCACCTCTGTGTGAGGGACAAGGGGATGGAGGTTCCTGCCAGGGCTGGGTGGGATGCAGTGA